CCGTCTCGTCCAAAGTCCTCTCTTCGTGCTCTTGCTCACCCGGAGTCTGACTCTCTTCGTGCTGCCAGTCCTATTGTCACGCGTCTCCTGGCTACTGTTGTCACTGACCCTTCCTTTGAGTTCACTGCTGCGTCTGCCTTAGTTGCTGAGCTTGTCGACTTTGCTGCTCGCTGTCTAGACTACGCCCCTCGTCTGGTTGCTTAGTCTGAGTCTGTTTGCCCTCCGTCCGTCGGGGGTGAGTGTGCTCTGAGCACGGACGTCCTTGAGGACAGGCACGAGGAGTTCCAGTGTTTTGCTGCTGCTTTGCCCCATCTCGTGTCCATGCTGATTGCCCCTGGGGGAGACCCGGATGCACTACACATCCCGACTCCTTGATCTTACGCTGAGGCGATCGAGGGTCCCTACTCCTCACAGTGGCAGTCGGCCATGGACGCAGAGATGGCTTCCTGGAAGTCCACAGGCACCTACGTTGACGAGGTTCCCCCACCTAGGGCGAACATCGTCAGTGGCATGTGGATTTTCAGGGTGAAGCGGCCGCCCGGTTCTCCGCCTGTCTTCAAGGCGCGTTACGTGGCTCGAGGCTTCAATCAGCGACAGGGAGTTGACTACTTTCAGACCTTCTCTCCCACCCCGAAGATGACCACTCTTCGGGTGCTGCTGCACATAGCCGCTCAGCGCGACTACGAGCTTCACTCTCTTGACTTCAGCACTGCTTTCTTGCAGGGCAGCCTGCACGAGGAGATCTGGCTGCGCCGCCCACCTGGCTTCACTGGGTCGTTTCCTCCTGGTACCCAGTGGAGCCTTCGGCGGCCAGTCTACGGTCTCCGCCAGGCGCCACGTGAGTGGCACGACACACTGAGGACTACACTTGCGGCTCTTGGGTTTGCTCCTTCTACTGCCGACCCGTCGCTGTTTCTGTGCACCGACACCTCTTTGCTGCCGTTCTACATCCTCGTGTACGACGACGACTTGGTCTTTGCCACTGCTGACACTGCTGGACTCGCCCACGTGAAGTCCGAGCTGCAGAAGAGACACACGTGCACAGACCTGGGTGAACTGCGCAGCTACCTTGGCTTGCAGATCACCCGGGACAGAGCACAGCGCACCATTACCCTGACCTAGTCGCACATGGTGCAGCAGGTCCTTCAGCGCTTCGACTTCACGTACTCCTCGCCTCAGGCCACTCCTCTGCCTACTCGCCACTCGCTCTCAGCTCTGCCTTCGGATGAGTCCGTAGAGCTTGTTGGCTGCCTCATTAACCTGATGACCTGCACACGACCTGACCTTGCATACCCTCTTAGCATCTTGGCACGCTATGTTGCTCCTGGGAGACACCAACCAGAGCACATGGCTGCAGCGAAGAGGGTGTTGCGCTACTTGTGCAGTACGTCAGACATGGGGCTAGTGCTTGGAGGGCGTCGTTCAGTGGTCCTCACCGGTCACGCAGACGCTTCTTGGGCTGATGACCAGGCTACGCAGCGGTCGTCACAGGGTTACATCTTCAGCCTTGGTTCCGGCTCTGTCTCGTGGCGGTCCCCCCGCTCGTCTTCTGTTCTCGGCTCCAGCTGTGAGGCTGAGATCTACGCGAGGGCCAGGCTGCACAGGAGCTACGCTGGCTCACCTACCTGCTAACTGACCTAGGAGAGCTGCCTCGTTCTCCTCCAGTTCTGTACGTAGACAACAAGGCCATGCTGGCCTTGTGTCGGGAGCAGAGACTGGAGCACAGAATGAAGCACATTGCTCTTCGCTACTTCCTTGCTCGTGAGCTGCAGCAGCATGGTCAGCTGCGCCTTGCTTACGTGGCCTCTGAGGCCAACACTGCTGATATCTTTACCAAGGCACTTCCGCCTTGTGATCATCAGCGCTTTTGTACGATGCTAGATCTTGTGCCTACTTGGCCTCACTTGCTCACTTCTTGACCTTGCTTGTACTGTGATCTATCTACACCTGCACTTGCTTGTTTACCTTTATATATGATCTTGCATGTGAACTGGCCTTGTGGCCTTGAACTTGTGCTCGGAATGTGTGGTGAGGTTATGATCCACCCTGAGCTTGCTTTGCCTTGCTTTGCTTGACTGGTCTTGTGACCCCTTGTTCTCCCCCACTTTGCCTATGATCTAGCCTGTGTAGGTTGTAGCGGGTTAGATACTAAGGGGTACACAATTCTAGGATTTCATATTTGTATCACACTCATTCCTTAGTCAATCATTCCTCATTCTTCAAATCTCGGGCCAACACTGCTCATGCCTTCACCAAGACCCTCGGGGCTGGTGATCATCACTGTTTCTGCACTGCTCTTGGGATGTGCCCACTCTGCCTCACCTGTTGGTTGCTTGACTTGCTCTTGTTGTACACTGCTATATATCTTTATACCTTCATGTTTTCTCTTTCTAGGGTGTGATCAGTGTACAGCCTTGCTATTATATACCTCTGCATGTGAACTGGCCTTGTGGCCACTTGCATGTGCTCACAAAGCGTGGTGACTTTGTGATCCACCCTGAGCTGTGTTCTCTTCTGCAGACTGGTCTTGTGATCACTTGTTGTGTTTGTTGTCCCCTACTTTGCCAATAGGGGTGTGTCATATTACAATTGTATCTCTAGGCTATAGTAGGGTCAATCCTTTAGGGTTAGGTTTCCCTTACTTGTACTCACCTCTTGCATAGTTCAATCATCATTCCTAGTTATATTCTTGAGACTGGTTTCATCCTCACTTGCAACTCCACATTCAAGTTGGGACGCGGTTCACTATTTTAGCTGCTGGCTTTAACAACACTAAACCCGAACTTGAATAACATTTTTAAATATATCATTATCGTGTGTTACGGTATCTAGCTACGGTGGATTTATTCGAATAACAATTTGGTTTTTCGGTTAATATGGTATATTCATTGTATACAGCATGTGTGGATGGATTAAGTTAAAGCTAGAAGTTTTTGCCAAGTAATAGTTGACCCGTTAGCCATGTTAAAAAGCGTTACAAACAGTGTAAGTGTTACGAGTGCAATTGAGTGAACGAACGAGAATTGCACTATCGAAGTAAGAGTATAATGAGCGAAGGCATGAGCGAAGAATATATAGCGAAACTACAGTGGTAACGGTAATGGACTGTGGTTGTCGCGCGACGGTCCTGGGACTGAGTTTGGGAAAAAGTGTCGAGGCGGAGGCCCGGAGCGCGGGTTACCCGCCGAGCCGTGAGGTCGGAGTGCGATGTGAGAAAGGTGGCGGGCGGATTGTCGATGCGAGGGTTGCGAGTGGTAACGGTGCTGACTGTGGCGCTACAGTGATGTACGCGTTGAGCAGGGATGCGAAGTAAGGAAAAGGAATTTTCCTTACACTACCCCCCCCCCCCCCCCCTAAGGAGGTCCTCCTTACGAAAGTGCGTGTACATCCCTGAAATTCCGGCTGCGCAAATACTCGGTGAGGACGGGGTGGTTTTCGATTCTGTCCAGGGGAACCCAATTGTCTTTGGTGGGTGTACGGTCCTTCCAGCGGAGTAAGAACTCGATCCTTCGGGCTCCTCGAGGGTCGCCAACTCTGTGACTCAAGATTTTCTCGGGGGTGATGATTGGTTCAGTTGGTGGTCTTGTCATGCTGGCTGGGCGATTGCATGGCAGTTGGCTCGTGGACGGGACGTAAGGGCGAAGTAGGCTGACGTGGAATGAGGGGCTGACGTACCAGTCAGCAGGGAGGAGGAGGTGGGCGGTGACGGGTGTAAGCATGTGGCTTATGCGAAAAGGCCCGCAGTATCGGGGGTGGAGTTTCGGGGTGATGGGCAGTCGGAGGTTCTGAGTGTCAAGTAAAACTAAGATGTCGGGCTGGTAAGTGACAGGTCTGCGGTGGCGCTCGGCGTTGCGTTTAGTGATGATGTTCGATTTTTTTATAGCGTCTACTGCCCGGGTCCATGCTGCTTGTAATATTTCAGCGAACTGTTGTGCTCGTGGTACTGGGTTGTCAGGATTCGGGGTCATGGGTACGGTCGGGTCTTGTCCCTAGTTTAGGTAAAATGGTGACTGTTGGGTCGTGGCGGATGGCGAGTTGTTGTACGCGAATTCGATTAGTGGGAGTTGCTGTTCCCACGTTGTCGGGTCGTCACACGTGGCCCTGATGAGCTGTTCCATGGTCTGATTTGTCCGTTCTGTCTGTCCGTCGGTTTCGGGGTGGTATGATGAACTGAACTGTAGTCGCGTGCCGAGCTGCTGCCACAGGTTCCGCCAGAAGTTGCTGGTGAATTTCGTGTTGCGGTCGCTGATGATCGCGGCTGGTATCCCGTGCAGTCGAATGACGGTGGAGATGAAGAGGCGTGTTGTTTCTTCGGCTGTGATTGATTTTTTGCAGGCTGCTAAATGTGCCATTTTCGTAAGTCGATCGACGACGACCAGGATCGCGTCGTTCCCACTCGCCCCGGCTGGTAACCCCGTGACGAAGTCCATCGTCACCAGCTGCCAAGCACGCTCTGGGGGTGGTATCGGCTGCAACTGTCCCGCCGGCCGCTGTCGTGATGATTTCATGAGCTGACAAGTGGGACACGATGCCACGTGTCGTTGTACGTCGGTCAACATTTCGGGCCAGTAATAATACCGCTGCAGCTGCTGCCGTGTTTTTTCTACTCCGAAATGCCCCGAGGTAACTTCGTCGTGTGCCTCCTGTAACAGTAATGTTAAAATGAGAACGAGAAATGCATCAACTATGAATGAAGTGGGTACATATAGGAAACCCTAAATGGGTTGTACCCCCTATGGGATACCCCACTATGGCCTACACAACAGCATAAGCTATAATGTTCTGACACACCCCCATAGGCAAAGTGGGGGAGAACAAGGGGTCACAAGACCAGTCAAGGAAAGCAAAGCAAAGCGAGCTCAGGGTGGATCACAAAGTCACCACACAGTCTGAGCACAAGGTCAAGGCCACAAGGCCAGTTCACAAGCAAGAGTACACACATATATATAAAGCTAGACAAGCAAGAGCAGGTATACATATATGTGAGAGTACAAGCAAGGTCAAGAGGAGAGCAAGTGAGGCAAGACGAGCACAAGACCCAGCTGAGTGCAGAAGCGTTGATGATCACAAGGCGCAAGTGCCTTGGTGAAGACATCAGCAATGTTGGCCTCAGAGGCCACGTACGCAAGCCGCAACTGTCCACGCTGCTGTAGCTCACGAGCAAGAAAGTAGCGGAGAGCAATGTGCTTCGTTCTGTGCTCCAGTCGCTGCTCTCGACACAAGGCCAGCATGGCCTTGTTGTCTACGTACAGGACTGGAGGAGAACGAGGCGGCTCTCCAAGGTCGGTCAGCAGGTAGGTGAGCCAGCAAAGCTCCTGTGCAGCCATGGCCCCAGCGTAGATCTCAGCCTCACAACTGGAGCCGAGAACAGAAGACGAGCGAGTAGCCCGCCACGAAACAGAGCCGGAACCAAGGCTGAAGGTGTAACCCTGTGACGACCGCTGCGTAGCCTGGTCGTCAGCCCAAGAAGCGTCCGCGTGTCCAGTAAGGACTACTGGACTCCGCCCTCCAAGCACTAGCCCCATGCCCGACGTACTGCACAAGTAGCGCAACACCCTCTTCGCTGCAGCCATGTGCTCTGGTCGGTGTCTCCCAGGAGCAACATAGCGTGCGAGAATGCTAAGAGGGTATGCAAGGTCAGGACGTGTGCAGGTCATCAGGTACATGAGGCAGCCAACAAGCTCTGGGTACGGGCCACTCGACTCTACGGACTCATCCGAAGGCAGAGCTGAGAGCGAGTGGCGAGTAGGCAGAGGAGTGGCCTGAGGCGAGGAGTACGTGAAGCCGAAGTGCTGAAGGACCTGCTGCACCATGTGTGACTGAGTCAGGGTAATGGTGCGGCGTGCTCTGTCCCGGGTGAGCTGCAAGCCAAGGTAGCTGCGCAGTTCACCCAGGTCTGTGCACGTGTGTCTCTTCTGCAGCTCGGACTTCACGTAGGCGAGTCCAGCAGTGTCAGCTGTGGCGAAGACCAAGTCGTCGACGTACACGAGGATGTAGAACGGCGGCAGAGAGGTGTCGGTGCGCAGAAACAGCGACGGGTCAGCAGTAGAAGGAGCAAACCCAAGAGCCGCAAGCGTAGTCCTCAGTGTGTCATGCCACTCACGTGGCGCCTGGCGGAGACCGTAGCTTGGACGCCGGAGACTCCACTGGGTACCAGGAGGGAAAGACCCAGTGAAGCCAGGTGGGCGACGCAGCCAGATCTCCTCGTGCAGGCTGCCCTGCAAGAAAGCTGTGCTGAAGTCGAGAGAGTGCAGCTCGTAGTCACGGTGAGCAGCAACGTGCAGCAGTACCCGAAGATTGGTCATCTTCGGGGTGGGGGAGAAGGTCTGAAAGTCGTCATCTCCCTGCCGCTGACTGAAGCCACGAGCCACGTAACGCGCCTTGAAGACAGGCGGAGAACCCGACGGCCGCTTCACCCTGAAGATCCACATGCCACTGACGATGTTCGCCTCAGGAGGGGGGACAGCGTCAACGTAGGTGCCTGTGGACTTCCAGGAAGCCATCTCTGCATCCATAGCTGCCTGCCACTGAGAGGAGTAGGGACCCTCTATCGCCTCCGCGTAAGAGCGCGGAGTCGGGATGTCAAGTGCATCCGGGTCTCCCTCAGGGGTAAGCAGTACGGACACGAGATGAGGTGAAGCAGCAGCCAGACACTGGAACTCCTCCTGCCTGTCCTCAAGGACGTCCGTGCCAAGGGCACACTCACCCCCGACGGACGGAGGACAGACAGACTCAAACTCAGCGACAAGACTCGCAGCGTAGTCTAAGCGACAGCGAGCAGCAAAGTCGACGAGCTCAGCAACTAGAGCAGATGCAGCAGTAGACTCAAAAGAAGGGTCAGTGACGACAGTAGCAAGGAGACGCGTGACAGCAGGACTGCCAGCACGAAGAGAGTCCGACTCCGGGTCGGGAAGAGCAGGAAGAGAGGACTCAGGAGGAGAAGGCAAAGGGGCACGCAGAGGAGCAGTGGACGGACGCAGAGACATCCGGTGCGTACCAGGGACAGGAGGAGGACGCTCACGCGAACTACGACCACTAGCGCGAGCAGGACGGACAGGCGACGTAGGGCGAGACGCAGGCTCACGACGCTCACCAAGACCTCCAGTAGGACCAGTGTAGGGAGAAGGAGCAGGCAAAGGGGAGGTAGGCTGCAACTGTAGCTGGGACGGGACAGGCTGTGGACACTCTAAGGGAGGAGGAGGACCAGCAGAAGGTGGAAGACCAAGAACCTGCTGCAGGAGTGGAACGAAGTACGGTCGAGGCCGCGTGGCGACGCCAGAAGCAGCAGGGACAGCACCAGTACCCTCAGTAGGAGCACCCGCTCCAGCAGCACCTCCAGCAGCTCCAGAACCTCCAGCAGCACCAGGAGCACCTCCAGCAGGACCGCCAGCGGCAGTCTCAGCGCCAACACCCGCAGCAGCACCAGCTCCAGTCGAACCCGCAGGCCCAGCAGCTTCAGTACTACCAGTACGAGCACCTCCGGGACCCGCGACCGCAGCACCCTCAGCAGCCAAAGAACCTCCAGCACCAGCAGCACGACGCCAGCGCCGGGCAAACCACTCGCGCAGCTCCTGTGGAGAGAGTGGCTCCCGGCGAGACGAAGCACCCGGAGAACCTCCAGGTGGAGCACCTCCACACGCAGTACCCCCAGGCGTAGCACCCCCAGGCTCAGCACCCCCCGGCTCAGTAAGCCTTGGCTCAGCACCCCCAGGCTCAGCATCCCCAGACGTAGTACCCCCAGGCTCAGCACCCCCAGGCTCAACACCCCCAGACGCAGCACCCCCAGGCCCCGCATCCCCAGGTCCAGCAGCCCCAGGCTCAACACCCCCAGTGGCAGCACCCTCAGCAGCACCAGAGTCACCAGTGATCTCGACTGGCCCGACTGCGTCTACCTGGGACACACCTGAAGGGGCAGGACCCTGAGGGGGCAGGGGGTCTACCTGAGGGGGACCTGGTACCAGGAAGAGTGGGGGTGGGGGGAGGGTCGGAGTGCGGTAGGGGAAAGGCGGTAGTAGGGGGCCGACTCGTCAAACGTGACGTCCTGGGAGGACAGAACACGGCGAGAGGTGGGGTGGTATAACTGCCACCCAGGCGCGTCAGGGGGGAACCCCAGGAAGACGCAAGGAGCAGCACGAGGGGACAGCTTGTCCGCAGACAAGTCGCGGACAAACGCCCGAGATCCCCAGACCCGGAACGCCGACGCATCGCCAACCTTCCCCATCCATAGCAGGGCTCGGGAGGTCTTCGGCCTGGAGACCCTGGGGTGGAGGTTGAGCTGATGCACCGCGTACCTGACCGCAAACGGCCACAGAAAATGGGGGGCAGCCGCATGCATCATAGACGTACGAGCGACGTCCATGACCATGCCAATGCGGTGCTCAGCAATCCCATTTTGCTGCGGTGAGTCTGGAAGCGTGAAGGTCTGACGGATGCCTCGTGCACGACAGAAGGCTCGCAGAAGGCCAGAGGAAAACTCTCCGCCTCTGTCCGAGTGCAGACGCAAAACAGGAAAGTCCGAGCTAAAGCGCTGCCTAAGCTGAAGACGAGCTGCGCGGATCCAGTCGATCAACACCTCAGTGACATCACCCTTGCTGCGCAAGGGGAAGACTGTGGTGTAACGCGAGTAGTCGTCAACAACGAGCAGAAAGTAGCGCTCGTGACCCTGTCCACGGACGAGGGCTGGGCCCCACACGTCCATGTGAAGCGTCTGCAACGGGGCCTCTGTCGGAGGAAACTGGGAGGAGTGGGGGGCAGCCTGCTGGCGCCCCTCGACACAGGGGACACAGGCAGGGCCAGGGCCCTGAGGAAGGGGAGGGAGGGACCGGGGGAGACCAGACACAAGAAGACGGGAGGCCATGCCTCTGAGCCGAAGCAGAGAGGGGTGGCCAAGGCGGTGGTGCCAGAGGAGAGTCTCGTGAGACAGGAGACGACACGAACAGGGGGCAGACTCAGGACCAGACCTGGACGCCGCAGCAAACACCTGACCCGACGCAGCTACCCTACCAGACTCAGCAACTGGAGAGGACGCAGTGGTCAGTGTGTACAGGCTCGACCCCGGCTGACGGGTAAACGTAGCCAGGTCCCGGCCTGTGCTAGCCTCAGAACAGTGCGTCACCCGCTGACGCGCAGGAGTGAACTGGTGTACTCCCCCATCCTGTAGGTCAGCACCACTCACCAGGTTCGTCGAGAACGAGGGGAGGTAGAGACCAGACAGGGTGCCAGAGGGAGCCGCCGGACAAGGGAGGACTGTGGAGAAGCGAGACAGGACAGGACCCCCAGAGGGGTCAGCCAGAGACACCGCAACCGGCCGACTAAGCGGCGTGAGTGTGGTGCGGTCTCGAAAGAAGGAGCGAGACGCCCCAGAGTCAAGGGTGAAGGTGAGGGAGGCCGAAGCCGACGTAGTACCTGAGAGCGCAGACTCACTAGTACCTGAGGACGCAGACACACCAGCACCTAGAGCAGCAGCGTCGCACGCACCCAGGGCAGCCGCCGTACCAGTACCTAGAGTAGCAGTCTCAATGCCCGGATCGGGCGGGAAACACCGGTAACAGTCACCCTCATCACTAATAGACACAGCATACATGGCAGAAAGAATAGCATCAAAGTCAAGATCAAAGATGGCCACACCCGCCCTAGACAGCTCGCCCCAGCGAGGGATCTCTGAGGCCTCCGGGAACTGGTGACGCCACGCGTCCGTCAGGCGGCCAAAGCAGCGCTGGGTGGGGTGCGCACCCCCACACTGCTCACCCGCACGGTCGCCGGTGCGCAGGACGTAGGTGCACGGACCAAAACCCCCACCCCGCTGGCGTGCAGTGTACCACTCACGGAGCTGCTGAGGTGACAGGGTCTCACGACCGCGCTGCTGCTGCTGGCGCGAGCCACCACCGGAGCCACTCCTCTGCGACGACCCGCGACCAGCTCCACCGCCACCCCCACTGCCTCCGCCTCCTCCGCTGCCTCCACCACTGCCGCCGCCTCCGCCGCCGCCTCCACCGTCGCCTCCTCTGCCACCTCCGCTCCCACCGCCACCGCCGCCGCCGCCTCCGCCTCCACTGCCGCCACCAACCCCTCTACCCCCACCTCCACTCCCACCGCCACCCCCACTCCCCCCACCGCCTCCACCTCCACCTCCACCGCCCGCTCCTCCAGCTCCCTTGCCCCCCTTGCCCTTGCCAGGGCGGCGTCTCCCGCTAGGGGCAGACGCCGCGCTGACCGACTCAAGACCAAGGAGGTCGGCCGCAGCAGCAGAGGCAATAGAGGGCAGCAGGGGGGAGGGAGAACACCCCTCAAAGATGGGGGTGCGTGGGTCACCTCGAGAGGCTCCTACAGCGACGATGCTCTTCTCTATCGCTAGGAGGGCCTTTTCGAGGAGGTCTACGGTGAGCGTGGTGGGACAGACTGAGAGAAAGTGGTCCCTGACTACGCGAAGGGAGTCAGGGAGGCGAGTGACTAGGAAGTACAGAGTGATGTACATGGGGGGGGGGGTTCGTGGCGCAGAAGTCAGCAGGGAGTGCAGCGCGGTAGCGAGTGTCACTAGTGCGGAGGTGCGTGATGAAGTCAGCTACGGTGGGAAAAGCAGCAAGGTCAGGGAAGAGGTACGGCAGCATGAGACGGCTCAGTGCAGCAGTGGCAGGGGAGGAGTAGCGCGCGACTACAGCGTCGTACAAGGTCTGAGCACTCTTGTACTGGCTAAAGTGCGCACGGTCGGAGGTAGGGAGGTGGCGACGCACAGCAAGACGTGCAGCAGCGTCGCGCGTGGCCCACTGGGAGCGAACAGTGGCGTCAGCATTAGCAGCAGGGGCAGGGGAAGCGCCAGAGGTAAGGTCAAAGAGAGAGAGGCCGTCTGCCCTATCGCTCAGTAGGAACAGCTGCAGTTCGTCGACCCAGACCTCAAAGTCTACGGCTCGTCCCTCAGCGTCAAACGTGAGGACACTAGGGGTAGCCATGACTACAGATGACGAGCAGTGTAAACAGTAGGGGAGGGAGGGCCGTGCAGGGGGAGAAGGCACTGTGCTCACCAGACATGGCAGCTTTGACGGTCCAGCTGCTGGGCGGCTCGGTGGCAGAGCGGCTCGGCGGCAGGGCGGCTCGGCGGCAGGGCGGCTCGGCTTCCGGGCGGCTCGGCGGCAGGGCGGCTCGGCGGCAGGGCGGCTCGGCTTCCGGGCGGCTCGGCGGCAGGGCGGCTCGGCGGCAGGGCGGCTCGGCGGCTGGGCGGCTCGGCTTCCGGGCGGCTCGGCGGCAGGGCGGCTCGGCGGCAGGGCGGCTCGGCTTCCTGGCGGCTCGGCGGCAGGGCGGCTCTCGTGCAGGGCGGCGCGGCGGCGCTCTTGTGTAGGTATGGCGGCGGGTGAGCCGCAGTTAGGGCGGCGGGTGCGCCGCAGGTAGGTTGGCGGGTGGCCGCAGGTAGGGCGGCGGGTGCGCCACAGGTGGGTTGGCGGGTGGCCGCAGGTAGGGCGGCAGGTGCGCCACAGGTAGGTCGGCGGGTGGCCGCAGGTAGGGCGGCGGGTAGGGCCGCAGGTAGATCGGTGGAGGGCCGTAGGTAAGGGCGCCGACGGGCCGTAGGTAAGGGCGGCGACGGGCCGTAGGTAGGGCGGCGACGGGCCGTAGGTAAGGGCGGCGACGAGCCGGTGCAAGGGCGGCGCGAAGCCGCGGGTAAGGGCGGCGACGGGCCGGGGCGGCGCGAAGCCGCAGGTAAGGGCGGCGACGGGCCGGGGCGGCGCGAAGCCGCAGGTAAGGGCGGCGACGGGCCGGGGCGGCGCGAAGCCGCAGGTAAGGGCGGCGACGGGCCGGGGCGGCTCGAAGCCGCAGGTAGAGGCAGCGCGAAGCCGCGGGAAGGGCGGCGACGGGCCTGGGCGATGCGAGGCCGCAGGTAGGGGCGGCGCAAAGCCGCCGGTGAGGGCGGCGCAAAGCCGCGGGTAAGGGCGGCGACGGGCCGGGAAAAAGGCGGCGCGCCGCAGCCGCTAGGGCGGCTCGACGCGACCGTAAGGGCGGCGCGACGGGCCGCTAGGTGCGACTCGACGGGCTGTAAAAAAAAAAAAAAAAAAGGCAGGCGCGACTCGAGGCGCGCTTCGGTGGGCCCAAGGAACAGTCCCTAGGAGGGGACCTGCTCTGATTCCATGTTAAAATGAGAACGAGAAATGCATCAACTATGAATGAAGTGGGTACATATAGGAAACCCTAAATGGGTTGTACCCCCTATGGGATACCCCACTATGGCCTACACAACAGCATAAGCTATAATGTTCTGACAAGTAATTCCCGTAGCAGTGTATACCCAGGCACCCAAATGCGGTCAGTCCCGGTTTTTAGGTAATAGACTCCCTTTGTTGCTGGGAACTGCTGCGAATTTCCTCCTGTGAAGAATGGATCCGTTTGGTACCCGTGGGTGAATAGGCCTGTCAGTAGCGGGCTTGTCTGGGCGAGTAGTATTGCATGGATCTGGGTAGTGGGGCGGGTCAGTGCGTCGGCGATGTTTGAGGCTCCCTTTATGTAAGTGACCGTATAGTGAAAGTTGGACTCGAGGAAATCGAGCCAGCGAATCTGTCGTGGGTTGAGGTGTGGCTGTGCGCGAAGGTGCTGTAGTGATTTATGGTCTGTCCGTATTGTCACGTCCGCGCCAGTCAAGTATCAGCGCCATACTTTGAACGCATGCACGATCGCAAGCATTTCGCGGTCGTGTATCGGGTAATTTTTCTCAGGCGGATGCAGTTTTCGTGACTCGTATGCGATAGGCTGTAGGCCATTGTGTCAAACATTATATATGTTTCTGTTGTGCAAGCTACAGTGGGTTAGCCTTTAGGGGGTACATTTCACTAGGGTTTCCTACTTGTACTCCAACAACTTTCTAGTTCATCACTTCTTATTTCTGACATGGTATTAAGAGCTTAGGTTCTAGACCTAAGGGCCCACTGTTCCGCTAGAGGTGCCCTCGTGCGCCCCTTTTTTTTTAGCCCCCTCGTGCGCCTCTCCCCTAGTGCGCCCTCGTGCGATCTCCTCTCACGCTGCCCGTGTGCAGCCCGCTAGCAGCCCGAGCGCGGCCCCGCCGTTTTAGCGCGCATAGGAAATCCGTCGCCTAGGGCGGCCCGATTTTTTCTCGCGAGCCCCAGCAGGCCGTCGCCCGTAGGCCCCGCTCGCCCCTAGGCCGACGCGCGACCCACAGCCGCCCGCCCGCAGGTCGCAGCCAGCGCGCCGCGGCGATCACGCGTCGGCTGCTGCAGCTCGCGCTTAGCCGACGCTAGAACGCAGCTGCGGCCCGCGCGCAGCCGCACCCTAGGCGCCGCCGCGCATCGAGCATAGGCCCGCCGTCTCGCCGCCATACCCACCCGAGCCGCGCCGCCCGAGTCCGCCCGAGTCACGCCGCTCGAGTCGCGCCGCCCTGACCGAGCCGCGCCGCCCTACCTGCAGCAAATGCTCTTCCTGCTCCTACTGCTACTACTGTTGCTACTGCTAGTGCTGCTACCGCTACTACTGCTACTGCTACTGCTACTCCTGCTACTGCCACTATGGCCAGTCCCACTGTTCTCACCTTTGACGCTGAGGGCCGCCCGATTAAGTTAAATGTCTTGCTTGATGACCTTCACCACTACCTCCAGATCACTACCAAGGACGATGTTTCCCTCTATGACTACACGTCCGGCGCTGCTCCCGCACCTCCCACTACTGCTGACAGTACTGCTCGCTCCCAGTGGCAGACCCGTGATGCTCACGCTTGCCTAGCCATTCGCAGCCACCTGCCGTTAGATGAGCGCGAGCACTTCGGCCAGCATAAGATCGCTAAGGAGCTGTACGACGCAGTAGTCGCGCGCTACTCCTCCCCTGCCACTGCTGCTATAGGCCGTCTCTCACTGCCCTACCTCTTCCCCGACCTGTCCGCCTTTGCCACTGTAGCTGACCTCATCACCCACCTCCGTACCAGTGACCTCCGCTACCGTGCCGCGCTCCCCCCCAATTTCCTCGCCAAGAACCCCCCCGCGATGTACCTCACACTGTACCACCTTGTCACTCGCCTCCCTGACTCCCTTCGTACTGTCAGGGACCAGTTTCTCGCCCTCTCCCCCACTGACCTCACTGTCGACCTCCGGAGTGGTACGCTCGGCGCTGCAGCCTCCGAAGTGGAGCTCCTGGTGTTGAGGTACCGCGAGCTAGAGGCCCTGCTGCTACTGGAGGTCCTGGAACTGCTGGAGATGCTGCTGGTGCTGGTGGTGCTGGCTCGGCTGGAGGTTCTGGAGCTGCTGCTGGTACTGGTGGAGGTTCTGGAGCTACTGGAGGTGCTGCTGGTGCTACTGGAGGTACTGGAGCTGCTGAAGGTGCTGCTGGTGCTGGTTTGGCTGGAGGTTCTGGTGCTGTCTCTACTGCTTCTGGGGGCACTTCACGGCCGCAGCCGTACTTCGTTCCGCTCCTTCAGCAGGTTCTTGGTCAGCCGCCTCCTCGTAGTCCTCCTCCCTCCTTAGAGTGTCCTCCGCCTGACCAGTCGCAGTCACAACTACCGCCTGCCTCGCAACTTCCTGGTCCTTCTCTCTACAATGGTCCGACAGGCGGTCTTACAGAGCGTCGTGAGCCTGAGTCTCGTCCTGTGTCACCTGTGTCTCGTCCTGTGTCACCTGTTCGTGCCGCTCGCACTGGTCGCCGTGTTCCGCGTGAGCGTCCTCCACCTGTCCCTGGCACACACTATATGACTCTCTATCCTTACACTGCTCCACAGCATGTCCCTCTGCCGTCTCCTCCTGCATCCTCTCTTCCTGTTCTTGCTGACCCGGAGTCTGACTCTCTTCGTGATGCCAGTCCTACTGTCACGCGTCTCCTGGCCAGTGCTGTCACTGACCCTTCCTTTGAGTCTGCTGCTGCGTCTGCCCTAGTTGCTGAGCTTGTCGACTTTGCTGCTCACTGTCGTCTAGACTACGCCGCCAGTCTTGTTGCTGAGTCTGAGTCTGTCTGTCCTCCGTCCGTCCGGGGTGAGTGTGCTCTAGGCACGGACGTCCTTGAGGACAGACAGGAGGACCTTGAGTGTCTTGCAGCCGCTGCGCCTCATCTCGTCTCCATGCTCATTGCCCCTGAGGGAGACCCGGATGCTCTAGACATCCCGACCCCGCGCTCTTACGCTGAGGCGATCGCGGGTGAGTACTCCTCTCGGTGGCAGTCAGCCATGGATGCAGAGATGGCATCCTGGAAGTCCACTGGCACTTACGTCGACGAGGTTCCCCCTCCTGGGGCGAACATCGTCAGTGGCATGTGGATTTTCAGGGTGAAGCGGCCGCCGGGTTCCCCGCCTGTCTTCAAGGCTCATTACGTTGCTCGAGGCTTCACTCAGCGAGAGGGAGTAGACTTCTTTCATACCTTCTCCCCCACCCTGAAGATGACCACTCTTCGGGTGCTACTGCACGTTGCTGCTCAGCGTGACTACGAGCTTCACTCTCTTGACTTCAGCACAGCTTTCTTATAGGGCAGCCTGCACGAGGAGTTCTGGCTGCGCCGCCCTCCTGGCTTCACTGGGTCGTTTCCTCCTGGTACCCAGTGGAGCCTCCGGCGGCCGGTCTACGGTCTCCGCCAGGCGCCACGTGAGTGGCACGACACACTGAGGACTACTCTTGCGGCACTTGGGTTCACGCCTTCTACTGCTGACCCGTCGCTGTTTCTGCGCACCGACACTTCGCTGCCGCCGTTCTACATCCTCGTGTACGTCAACGACTTGGTCTTTGCCACTGGTGATACTGAGGCTCTCGCCCACGTGAAGTCCGAGCTGCAGAAGAGACACAGGTGCACAGACATGGGTGAACTGCGCAGCTACCTTGGCTTGCAGATCACCCAGGACAGAGCACGCCACACCATCACACTGATTTAGTCACACATGGTGCAGCAGGTCCTTCAGTGCTTCAGCTTCACCTGGTCCTCAGCACAGGCCACTCCTCTGGCTATAGGTCACTCGCTCTCAGCTCTGCCTTCGGATGAGTCC